TTCAGCTGAAGGTCTATTAGCAAAGAAGGAAAGTGACCGACGGAGAAGGCAAACAAGGATTTGTACTGACATCTCTTTTCCTCGGTGGAGAGCCCTGAAGGAAGAAACTGGGCTGAGGGCAGACACGGATGTTGCCTTGCTGCTGTTGGATAAGTAAGTGACTTGGTTTATAATTATATTATGAGTAGTATGTGTTGCTGTTACATGTACTGGACCTAGTACTTTATTATTTTCTTGGAAATGGTGCTATGAACGTAATGTAATGTTAGCAGCCTGGTGTTCACCACGTTGTGTAGCGTTGTGTACACGGTGTGAAGTGAGTGTCACTCTGTGTACATGGAAGTGCCGGCTTATTTGTTGTAATAACGCATTATCCGCTGGGGGGCGACAGAAGTTACGCACTATAGCTTTAATATAAAGTTACATCATTAACAGAAAGTTACAGCTATGGCTAACGTACAGTTATGGTTAGGTCAAGGAAAATAAAACATGGTTCGGTGTTGTTAAGTTTAGGGCTAGGGTTAGAGGTAAAGTTACTGTGGTTAGGTTTATGCAAAGAAACATGAATGGGAAAATGACTCAAACTTCACTCAAACTTCACTCAAAGTCCACGCTGCTTCAAACATGGGTCTGCTGAGGAGATTCCCAGAAAAAGCTTTGTAAACCACTGCCACTTCATAAAAGATAGACACGGCACATAACAAATGAGAAGTGAGAGTGCTGTCAAGCATAAAGTTCTTCTTCTGGGACAGTATCATATCTGTCGACAACTCTGGTTCATGAGAGCTTAGTGGAAGGTTGTGTGCAACCGGTTACAAGAACATAAGGTGCAGCTAACCTTCTATTGCAGGTAGGAACTCACAATATTTTCATCATATATTTTATGTAATGCTCTTCTTATGAAATAGATGATTCTGCAGCCAACAATGCCCACAGTCAAATTTAGGATAGACTCATAAAAAGGTTTTGATTTTGATGTAATGGTTGATTATCATACAAACCTGACGGCACATAGAAGCACTCAGTCTCATTACCTGTAAATGTTGATGTATTGTACACTCTAGAATAACCCCAACTATTAAAAAAGAAAAGATGTATTTGATGTTTCATGAAGTATTTATGGATAATATGTACAGTACATGTAGAATTTGGGTATGCCAAGAAATTGCCCAAATTCATTTTATTAGAATTGTAAAGATGTCAGATATGACAGTTTATTACGGAACAGTAATGCACCTAATAAGTGACATCTGTGAGGCTTTTGAAGTATGACGCTGTGAGATCAGTGTCAATAAGCAATAAGCAGAGTGTCAGGGGAAGAAAGGAATTTAAAAAACATTTGACGAAGTGTTGCCTTTCTGAAAACCAACTTGGTCTCACTCCCAACTCGTTAGACACCGATGTTTAGTCAGTGATTTCGGTGTCAGACACTGATACCAAAAGCCACCTTTCACGGTGGTATGATACGCCGTTGGTCAGCTGGATTGCACCTGTCACGGCAGGATGATATGCTTCTGTATGGTGTCAGTTTGGCGGTAATGACATAATATAAGCAGGCAGGAGGGAGGGGTGGTAGATGAGTCCTGGACTTTTACCCAGGAGCTTGCTGTTTGCTCCCTGTATGAATGTAGACCCAAACCATGATGTTTTCTCTAAACCTAATCACGTGCTTTTGTTGCACAAGGAAATAAACATAAATACGAGGTGTTTTACTGGCATTGTAAGTTCATTTTTGAAAAGGGCTGTCAGCATCTAACGAGCAGAACCTGTACATTTCCTTTAAAATTAAGTGTATTTTGAAGAGACACAATGCAATTAAAAAGTGCAAATTGACATGGCGTCCCGGAACATCAACAACAAATGCAGGAGGACACCTTTTCATATGTAGATGTTAACGGCACTGACAAAGTGGCGATATTTGACAAGCTGAGATAAGAACGCATTGGAGGCGCCCTTAAAGCATCTGTATGAGACGCACTGGGCACTGTCACTTTTTGATGCTCCGAACTACTGCTGTAGTATAAAGAGCAAATTCCAGGAAAAGTTCAAGAGGTGGATGGGTCAAACAAACTCCAGACTTTTACCCAGGAGCCTGCTGTTCTTGTTCTGTGTGAAACCAAACAATATAACAGCAAATAAGCTAGTACATGTAGCACACTACACTAGTGATGTATTAGGTTAGTAGCAAACCTATTTCTTTTAATGACGTTTTTTTTCCTTAAATCTAACTGCATGATTTTGTTGCTCAAATCTAAGGAAATAAACCCATCCCTGGCATTTTAGTTTTACATGTGGGGCCGCTGTATTCAGTGTGCTGGGAGTGAGAATGTGTTACAAAAACAGAAAAGGAAGCAGTTTGAACTCGAGGTTGAAAGGTTTCATTTTCACACGCAGTCATCTTATTCAGTTCCTTTTTTATGACAGTCTACGTGACTTTTGCTGCATCAATCTGCAGAGAGAAGCATGTTTTCTTAGATCAGCTCCACGGTCAAACAGTGAGAAACATCAGACAAAACGACAAACGCGTGTCTTAAGTGTGTCTCTAGTTTTAGAATTTTTGGAAGAAGTTTCCTGCTGATTAATCATGTCACTTCTGACTAACTGAAGACAAATCTATTCTTTCATCTTATTTTTTCTCATTTTCCCAGAACACCATGATGGTTCACCTAAATGATTCACTGGGCTTTAGGGGCTTTGGAGCTTTGGTTCTCCATCTCACTGTCCTCCCCCTTCTTCTTGCAAAGACTGCAGGTAATAATCAAAGTGAAACCGTGGCACTAGCTTTTATTAAGCCTCTGGTGGTGTATTTGATGTTGTGGATTTGGTGAATGGCCCCCAAGCTTACAGTGGGAGAGGAGGTACTCAGATGTGTAATAAAAGTAAAAGTAGCAATACTACAGTGTAGAAATAGGCTACTCTGTTAGAAGTAAAAAGTAAAAGTCCTGCAGTCAAAATCATACGTATTGATTAATTGATTAACATTCAAAAAATGTTTTGTGACAGGGAGGGGGGTTATAACTTAAGAGGAGAATTCAGGCGAGCGGCTGAGGAAGGGGGCGGAGTGAAGATTGTCCCTCGCTGCGGGGAGAGAGGTCCCTCTCCTCCACTCCACACTTCGACTTATTTTCATTGTGCCAATGGTGGCTTGGAAAACCGCCCCTAACTGTGTCACACGGGCAGAAGGGAAGGCTGCTGCAGCTCGGCCTCTTTCCCCCTGTTCACCTTCTCCCCATCTCCACACTTAGACTTTTTTTCACCCTGCCGACAGTGGAGCTTATTTTCATTGTGCCGATGGTGGCTTGGAAAACCGCCCCTAACTGTGTCACACGGCCAGAAGGGAAGGCAGCCGGTTCTAGTTCTATTTCTCCCTCTCTGGCAGCCTGGGCTCACCGCACAGCAGCCCACCGCATCCATCGACCCCTCCCTCCCTCGCGGCCTGGCCGCACATACACCCCCGAAGCTCGGCTCTCTCTGCGGACAGAATGGTTTTATAGTAAGGGGAGGAGTAAAGGGAGGAGGGCACGCTTTAGCGTGGATGGTTAGTGACGTCATTCGCCTCGAAAAAGAATCAATCGCCTCCAATGTAATGTAATGTAAATTCAAATGTAGTAACCAGGTTTCAAGCTGTAGAGGGCGCTCCATACCACATTTTTAAAATAAAATGTAGATTTTCAACAGTTTGCACTAAACTGTCAAGATTTTGAGCAGGATCAGTCAGTAATACTACTATACAACCAGAAACAATGATTATCAGCTGAAAAAAATGGTTTTAGGGTTTAGTTACTCTTTAAAAATCTACACAAAAGATATTTTTGGCACATATATAAACGAGGAAAAGTTGTGTTAGGGGAGAGCATATTTATTTTGTAACACTGGGTGCTACTTGGTCTGTTAATAAACTGGATTTATCACCCTATAATTATAAATAAATTTGGAAATTTTGTGAAATAATATACGAGATAGTAGAAAAAATGAAAAAAAAGGGGTAGGGGCATGTAAGTTTTACTTCTACCTACTCCTTTTTGGACATTGTTGTAGTTGTCTTGTTTGTTTTTTATTATGTTGTTTTTTATTCTTAAGTCATTCATTCATTCATACTGAACAACGTATTTAGGAATTATTATATCATTGAATTATAACTACTAATGCATTAATGTGTTCATCACTTTAATGTTAGAGTTGGTATAGCTGGAACTAATTTTATTACTTCATATATTGCTGGGTAGATCAATCTTATACCATAATTTACTTGTTGATTTATATTTTCTATTAATAATTTGAAGATGCAAAGAAAAGCTTTTTAAAAAATGTAAGGCAGTAAAAAGTACAATAAATCACTGAGGTGTAGTGGAGTAAAGCATAAAGTAGCATGAAATGGAAACACTCAAGTAAAGTATCTCAAAGTTGTACTTTAGTACAATTCTGGAGTAAAACAAGTTTTAAAGGCATCAGCTTTTGGTTGTCAAAGCTGAAAATATGGTTGCTGGTTTTAGATGCTTCATAATTTGAGTAATTAAAGTGCGATGCAGTTTTGCTTCAGCTTAATAATGAAAATGTGACATAAGGAATGTATTAATTAATGAGTTAACGCTGACAGCCCTAGTTTTAAGACTACTGCTACACTTGTACTTTATTTAAATACATCATACATGTTCTTGTGTTGGTTGCTTTGGAATTAAAATAAACAAACAAAAACCTGTTTCTTCCTCAGGCCAGCATCAGGTGGTTTGTCCATCTCAGCCAATAGTGGCAACAGTTGGTGATGACATCATTTTACCATGCCATCTGAGACCTGCCAAGAATGTTTCAGACATGACAGTAGAATGGGCGAGACCTGACCTGAACCCCAGGTTTGTTCATGTGTGGCGTGACGGTGTGGAACTGGAGAGTAAGAAACATCCGTCCTACAAAGGAAGAACATCAGTGTCCATCGACAAACTGAAGCACGGAGACATTTCACTGACGCTCTCCAGAGTGACACTCTCTGATGGGGGGCAATATAAATGCTTCATTCCAGGACTGGGTCACTCTTTTATTCAGCTTGAAGTTGGTAAGGTACGGATCATTTTACATCCAGTTTTTGCTGGGCCTGGACGAATAAGATATATTTAAGTGCCAAAGATATGAAAAAAATGTGTAATGACTCTTAACATACTACTGAGGGTGCTGCCTTAAATGAACTGAAACTAAAGCTACAAGCTGAGGGAATAAAAAAGAAGACATTCATGACTAAGATAACAGGAAAATGATTTCTGACAAGGAGAATTTGCAAAAGTACCTTGATTGTACCTTGTAGTATGAGTTTCATCAGCAGGTCTGTTAAATGTGCATCAGTAACTATGTGTGTTTGCTCATTTAATTCTCAGGTTCTCCTTTCTTCCCTCTTCAGGTGCTGTTTCTCCACCTTTCATTGTGAGTATTAACATAACCAGCAGGAGAGTGATGTTAGACTGTAAGTCTGCAGGCTGGTATCCAGAGCCTGAGGTGTTGTGGCTGGATGGTGAGGGAAAGCTCCTCTCTGCTGGACCTACAGAGACAGTCAGAGGTCCTGATGACCTCTATACTGTCAGCAGCAGAGTGACTGTGGAGAAGAGACACAGCAACAGCTTCACCTGTAGAGTCCATCAGAGGAACATCAACCAGACCACAGAGACAACTACTCACATATCAGGTATACATTCTTCACAAGTTCCTGATCTGCTCACTTTGTTATCATCATACAGCTGACGTACATTTCCACATGAATGCAATACTGCTTTTTTTGTTTTTTAATTCCAGCTGATGACAGCGAGGTGTCAACTGATGTTCGTGTCCACTGGATCGCTGCTGCAGTTTTCAGTGTTTTTGTAATTGTAGTCCTGCTCACTGTGCACATAGTTGTTGCAATTCATAAACAAAGTTAACTACGCTAAACATCAATGTAGCCATTTCACTCTGTGAGGTAAATTCACAGATCTGTGATACTGAATTAAAGTTCATAATTTAAATGGCTGAAGCTGCTACAGTCAGTATTTTTATGTTAATGGTTGATCGCATAACTACGATGAAAACTTGCTGCTCATATACGATCGCTACAGCGATGAATCCACAAAGAGCTGCCACCTGCAACATGGTATAAATAAAGAAAAATAAACTTGTGTGTTTAATCTGCTGCTGCTGCTGTGACAGTGTAAAAGTGCATAAATAAATCAATCTGGTCTCTTATGCCATTCAAACTGATGTTATCTCTCCAACTGTTATTCTATTTTAACTAAGTCTACCTCACCTTGTCTAATCCCTACACAATGCTCCCTTCACACCATTGGACACCAACTGCATATACTTTGAACCACCCAGTTCAATGATCTGTTAATATGAGTTATGCCTTTGTACTAGGGCTGGGGACAGAACTAAAGAAAACAGACCTTGAAAGAACAACAGAACAGAAATTAAAAGGTGCATCAAAGGGACGTGGATCAAGAGAGGAAGGGCGCCACAGAGACTACTCATGCACAGGGCCCAGAATGTAGAAAATTGGCAAAGATTTTATTTTCACCAAAAGAACAAGGTGGTTCAGGAACACCAAAATAACCCCCAACAGTTCCCTCTGGTGTCCAAAGTTACAAACAGAATATTAACTCTTGGTCTGCAGACAAATAATGGACGTTTCTCTTTGGTAGCACAACATAATATTCCACCAAAACAAAAGGAGAGCATGCAATGGATTGGTTCAGACAGAGAGGAAAAGTCCATCCCATGCATCCATCATTTTCTACCACAAGATGTAAAGATTGCTCCACCGCATTTGTCCACGATGAAGGTGGTCTGGGTTTCTTTTTGTCCTGTACACTAATATTAGTATTGGCATTTTTTTAATGATTTTAAAATATTAAAAAAACATGTTTCATTGATATCGTTTGACTCTCTCTGCATTTCCTTTCTTTGAATATTCGTATCTTGATATGGCTTTAAGGGCATCATATATCCAGTATGTTCTTCATTATTGTTCCAGCACTACTTTGAAGATATATGAGGTTTATATTCAAACTCAAGATTATGTTCTTAATGGTTGCAATGACCCATGAAACAGAAATCTTGTAGATGTCTTGCACATCATATGAAACATCTGTGTAGTTTACAAAGACACTAACAATGCAAACTGTAAAAACAAAGAGTTCATTAAAAAAATGTGCATCCCCTCCTAAAATGTCTTATATTCAGTGTTGTCAAGGTAAACTTTTGTAGGTTCTCATGAGCATTGAAGTGCTCCAAGCTCTGAAATGTCTCCTCTTATGTTAACAGAGGTTTTATGATGTTTGTTAAACAGTTTGTAGACTGACTGCTCTCATTCAGCCGGATCTCTGTTTGTCTCTGTGTCTGAACTGAGGACACTTTACTGTACCTCCAAACAGATGGGCTTCAGGAGGAGATTAAAATGAACAAAAAACAAAAGATAATAGTAGCAATCATAATGACACACCCTAAAATCATCACGTTTTTCCTTAAAGGGAATATGCTGTGTGATTATGTCATGTAAACACTATATTTGTATACGTTTATCTCTTGTTCTTGGGCGTGTGCTTAACGTCAGACATTTACTTTCCCTTCACGTGTTTTTGGATGACAGTACTAAAGTAAACATTGAAAGGAGACGAGGCATGTCTTCAGATGTAGACCAAGTTGTTCAGCATTATCCTTCAAGGGCAATCCGTGTTGAAACTTGCCAAACATAAATGCAGTTCATGTAGCAAATGTATGTAAATGCCTGTGAGTATTGGCAATTGGCTCAAATGCCTTTTATTTGTTTTTGTTTGTTCATCGTCACACATACACAGCAAAGCGAGTTTGTAAAAGTTGATATATCTGGGTATGAAAAAGCACAGCATCAAAAAGAGATGCAAACGTGTATTTTTACTTGTAAAACATGAAAAATGACGGCAATTATAAATGTGGGGCTGTCTCTGAACTGTTTAGTGGATACTGGAACCAAGCCGGAGTCAATAAACAGGTTCTTATCCAAAGTCGTCGCTTTGTCTGTGGCCTTTCAAGTCTTCATATTACAGGCTAGGTATCGTACTGTGTCTGCTGTTGACGCACTGGGATACTGGTACAAACACTGGGATGTAAATGAAAGTACATGATTAGATTTAGGCAACAAAGGCATACAGTTAGATTTAAAAAGAACATCATGGTTTGGCTCTACATTCATGCGGGAAGCAAACATTGGGCTACTGGGTGAAAGTCCTGGGTTTATTGGGCCCATGTACCACACCTCCCTCCCAAACCCTACAAGGACTTTCCAGTTCCTTAAACTACATTGTTACTGGCATATCATACTGTTGCGACAGGTTAAATTGAGCATTACATTCTGACGCAGCCCAGCAGCATATCATACCTGTGAAAGGTGGCTTTTGGTGTCAGGTGTCTGACACCAAAATTTTCTTAATAACTCAAGTCAAATTTCGTGAAAATGCAAAGTTACTTGGCAAAAAAACATTTCTGATTCAAAATGGGCTCATTATTTAACTCAAATATGTGCCTAGAATTACATTACAGTAATACATTGTAAAGCATTTAATATATATACTGCTCTCCAAAGCTAAATAAGCAGGGGTAGGCTGCATTCAAAACAAGTCAGGTGTTACAGCAAAACCACCACTCATCTTTTGTCTTGGCTGACGCAGCGAGGTCATAGGGGATTCCAGAAAAAAAAACAAAAAGAAACACAACAGCCCCTGGTGAAAAGTTTACACAGAACAGGCTTTTAGAAAAAAATGACTCATCCTCACGCTGTGGTGACCAATTGTGTAGTCAGACCAGAAGACGCCCACAGTCCACAGGAATGAGCGAAACAGTCTCTATCTTTCAATATTATAGTAAGTCATTGAAATAAAGTTTGTATAAACAGCTGCATGTGCTTTGTTTGTGTGTGCACATACGTTTCGTTTGTGGCAGTAAAGACGCTACATGATGTTTTTCGGATAACAGTGTGATAATTAACTAATGATAATTAAAAGGAATTCTACAGATCTTTTAAGCAAAAATAAACAAACTTACCAAAGACAAATATTTAGTTACTGAGACAGGGAGATTAGCTCTCTAAAGCTGGTCTCTACCCTCTCCTCCCTCACAAATGGATCATTTAAGTGACACACCCACACAGATGTACAGCCCTGTTGTTGTAAGGCCTGACTTGAGAAGTGCATGTGTGTCATGGAATCCCTTTATTCTGGTGCCTGTATTAGCAGGTTAGAGCGCCCACGCTGCCCCCGTGAGCTCTGCTGCTGCGCAGGAGGTTATTCTGGAGGTTATTTTTTGCCTATTTTTTTTCCACATGACGTATGTGGTTTCAGCAAAAATAGACTGTGAAAATGTTTTTCGATTATCATGTTGACATTGTACCAATTTCAACCCAGTTTTAATGTCTTTATCTGTCACAGATATTAAAAAAAAATAAAAATGAAATGCTTACTTGACAAAAAAAAAAAAAGAAAAACATTTCTGTGGACAGAATCTCTCCATTTGACACACACATTGTGAAATATTTGCAAGAGCGTGCTGTTGTGACTTGCATGGCTCCATAAATAAGTGGAGCACCAGCATTTAATTGTGGAAGTACAGTATTCATAGCAGCAGGCAGCTCTGCAGCAGCTCCACAGGCATGCAAGCTGCAATGAGGTAATTGCGCATGCAGGCAGTGTGGCCTGCGAGTTAAAGAAGTGATGGCCAAATAAAGCCTCATAACCTTTTTTTTTTTTGATGCGATGGTGGTGCTCTCTGTTTAAAGAAAAAGGCTCAAGCAATGGCAAATCAGTGTGCTTTCAACCCTTTGTTGAACAGAGAGCTGTTGAGTTGACTCAATTAGGCCGTCATTAATACAGTAAAGTCCCATCTCAGGTTTTTCCTAACAACCAGTTTATCTACCGCTCATGGCTATTTACTGAACGCCATCCATGTAGTTATTCCTCACCTGTTGTGATGGAAGACGGTGTTAAAGTAAACATTTTAAGGACATGCTGTGTGTCCCCAGGGCATCGTCAAAGGTTTAAAAGAGTGAAGACCAGCCATCGGACATTCAGACGAAAGAACGACGACAGAGGTCTCATCTGTGGTGAGTTTTTCTCTGACTGTATGTTTCAGGAGATCAGGACAACACAACTATCAGAGCTATTCAGGGTACTATAAATGGGGGGGATGAAATAAAAATTTGAAGTGTACTAGAAAACGGCGTAAAAGGGTGTAATGACATCATTGTCATCCCCATTTTTTTTTGTTATTTGTTATTTTATGTGGGGACCGCAGATGGAAACTAGCTGTCAGCTAAATCTGGTGTTATGCATCTCTTCTTGTGATTCGAGATTAATGTTTATAACACATGGTCCCTGTTAAATAAAATTATTAAAAAAATAAATATAAAAATTGCGATACGTTTGGTGTGGTGCAAAACTGGGCGAAAATGCATGGTGGCATCAGAGGAACAAATGAACGCCTGTTTACTCTGCTCATAGAAATGAGCATATTTTAAAAACTAAATAATGTATCTGGAACAAATAACCTCTGGAGTGCTAAAAAAATATTTTGTTTCTACATCAAAAAAATCTTTTGGATCAACGTGTTATACATTTCTATTTTGTAAAATCTGATTTTACTGACCAAAAAAATGACATCACAATAACCAAAAATACCAGTGTAGGCCCTGGTGGACTGTTTCTATCGCAAGGTTCAAAGGGTTAAAGAAACTTAAGTTCCTTTGGTCAAGTGTCACACGAATGTAGAAACGTGTAAAGAAAGTTATTTAAGAAGTGAATTACGAGTCCATGTGGATTTTGTTAGCTTGATCACACTCCACTGTGTCACATTTCCAGGTCAGATTCCAGTTGTGTAAGAGACTTGGTGAGCCCTGAGCCATGCAGCCAGCTGTGGTAACTGCCGTCCTGCTGCTGGGGGTCCTGGTACAGGGGACATGTGAGTACAACACTGTCACTGATGCTTTGAAGATTAAGAACCCAGATCTCTGAAACCTATTTCAGTATCAAATCACTTGTTTTCTTACAGATTCTGCTACCATGGAGGAAGTGTGTGAGCACTACCCAAAGAGGTCATGTGGTAGAGGATGGGAACAGCTTGATGAGAACCGCTGTATGAGAATCTTTTGGGCTAAGAGAAACATTGTTGGTGCTCAGGTGATACAAGCACAGGAAGAATTCAGACAGTAAATGTATCCTCGGTCATGATGAAGTGCTGGTGAAGACTAATCTTTGTTCTCACATTTCAAACTATTACAGAAATACTGTGGCATGTTTGGTGGAACCCTGGTGTCACTTCACAACTCAGCTCAGATGCAACGAGTGACTTGTCTAGTCTGGCGTAGAAAGTTTTCAGACAGTAAAATCTGGATTGGAACCGCGCTAAGCGATAGAGAGGTAAGCACTTTATGTCTGCATGGAGTCGTGGTGTCTACAGGGCTGTTTATGGGCCAGATCAGAGTCCTGCATGGTGTCAGGTATTTTAACTTCCCGGTTCAGTTCTGGGAAACCAAAGAACATGTGGGTGTATTATATCAAAATAAAAAGAGCATCTTCAGTGCCACCCAGAAATTGAGAAGAGCTGTTTTAGTCAGGCGTGTTACTAACAGGCACGTGTTCAGTATTATGACCATGAACATAAAATACACATTCTCTGAATTACTTTTATTTCAAAATATCTTATCTTAGTTTCACATGTAAATGATTGCTTTAACCGACTGCCGAACCAAATGATCTGAACAGCACGTGGTTAATGTAAGATCTGCAGATGGGTGCATATTGCACATTGCAATGCCAGGGTGGGAGTGGATCTTGAGCAACGTGTCCTTATAGAATGTGTCATATGATGTCCTTCAGAAAAGCAGGCACAATTCGTGTGATACTCTAGATCAGCGCTGCACGTGGGATTTAAGGTAAACAGGCTATGGTACGGTGCTTATTGAGGTTGCTTAGCAACCTCAGACGCAACCTGCCACCAAAAATACGTGGGATATGTACGAATTTGGCTGCATTACTTTCAGTAGGAAAAAGTATGAACAGTTTGTGAGAACAGTCCGTCTTGAAAATCAGACCTGTGCAGCACTCTGGGCCAGACTTGTACTGGTGCATCTTGAGGAATTGATCTTTGCTTTGCCAAATGTCTCGTCTTCAATGAAAACTTCATCCCAGTGATTTTGAGTCAGCTTTGCTAATGTATGTTTTGTTTTCAGCGACAGTACCATAACATTGATGGGACTGCTGTGGATTATACCAACTGGTACCCCGGGCTGAGATATTCACGTTCAAAAGCTTGCGTTGAATCAAACTACAAGGGTAAGCAAAGATGATGAATGTACTTTTACAAGCAGGAGTGCCATCTGAGTAACATGTCAATATCCGTACGGGTGAAAAAAAGAAAAAATCCTGCTCCAGTTGTGTTGTCTCTTGTTATCAAAAATGTTCAGAAGCTCAATTTGTAGTCGTAAATGTGCTGAAAAAAAGGCCCCAAATGGGACTGTTCACAGGTTCTATATTGGCCAATTGCTCAAATGGACGGGTGTACCCAACCTGTGTGAGCTACCTCTGAAGTCACTCAGTCTGAATGCTGATGTTATGTTTATTAAACCACTAGAATTATGTTTTTCTGCTCCTGTCACTCATCTCAATGTTTGCTGTTTTTCAGTGTGGGGTAGGTGGCATAACACAGACTGCTCAGAAGTGAAGCACTTTGTGTGTACCAAGGCTCTGCGACCATGATCAGCTGGTGTATCTGCTTCATGACAGCCACTGCAAACACAAGCTTTTACACTTAAAGCAATAAAAACTTCAGAAACACTTTGTGCCTGTTTCACTTCTTGTTAACATTATGACAGTAGAGCTGTTGTGTTCTTTGAAATGGAAAGAGACGACTTTTGGCTCTGGAACAACATTTCCACCAACCTTCAATACCAGTGACTGGTAAATTGTCCAAATGTGTAGAAATCTTTGGTAATTTCAGTGATCTATGTTGTCTTGCTTGCACAGTATACAGCTCTGTTCCCAAGACAGTAAAAGTACAAACATGGTATTCAAACAATCAGCCTTCTCTGAATAATGCTCCACCTTCTCATCACCAAGGTGAAACAACATCAACAGAGTTTAAAGTCAAACCTACCAAGTGGAGTTTGGCTGGAAGTACAAATGCAGGCGAGAGGATGTGCCAAAATATTCTCTGGTTATGTCAACTTCAGAATTGTTCATTTACCCACAAAATAAAAATTGAGCTGCACATGACAGTCATTGTTTACTTTGGTATTCATGACAGAAACATTCAGTTGTTGCATCTTTGTGTTTGTTCATTTTTGAACTCCCCAACTGCAACTGTTTTTATGTTGAATTAATTTATAGGTAATATAGCTAATCAGCTAAATATACCTACTGAAAGATAGTGATGGTTAAATGAAGCCTCATCAACCATTTTCTTTATTTTCTAACTCCACCAGATGGCGCTCTTGGTTTAAAGATAAAGGCTGAAGCAATGACAATGAAATGTGCTTTCAAACCTTTGTTGAACAGACAGCGCAATCCAGTGGCTTTAGAAAATAAAGACAGTGGTTCATGAGGCTTCATTTGGCCATCACTACTGAAAGAGCCTCTGTTCTATCTGAGGTTTTCTCCTGTCGTTTCTAAGAGGATCCAATTATTATCTACATCTATAAGTCCTTGAAAATAAAACAGTCCTTATCAGTTTAAGCTCAGTGGGTCTCCATTGTTTCTCTTTTTATCATTATGTGACATTTATTCACACCCATTGATGTCATGAGACACGTGCAAGCTGGTGAAATTTAAAATCTTTTTTTCACATTATAACAACACGTAATAATTTTAGGCCTAGTTACAAGTAAAATTAAAAGAGAGCTACTGTGGTAATACTGACTTAGTTAAAAGAGAGACAGCAAATAATGGGGGTGTCTTAAATTCCCTTGTGAAACCACCAAATGAGAGCAATAAACGAAACTTAAATGTAAGCTTGAACACAATTTATTAAGATAACAACCCCCCTCCCTAAATGAGAGCGCAAGAAAAGTAAATGGACCCTAACCCCAACCCTAATCCTCTTTCATGAGAGTAATCCAACCAAAAAGATCTGTCCAGTGTCCGACTGAAAATTCAAAAATAAAAGCTAGGAAGAAGCAATGCATTGCACAAAGAAAAATGTGCAAAAAAGAATCAAACTCACAGGCTGTCGAATCAAGTAAAGAAATAATCCGGCCTTGGCTTGATGGCTTGTTGCTCAATCTTTAAGGTCCCCGACATGCACTGGTTTCACTGCTGCCTTCAGTCAGTCGAGGTACCATCAAAAAAGAGTCAAATGTAGTATTTCTCCATGGCAGGCTGCCACTTCACTCTGTTTCTCTGCTCCAGACAAAATCAAAATCCCTCCCCAAACAATTCCCTTCCTTTGTTCCCCAAGGCCACGCCCCCTTCACCTCTGTGGAACAGCACACCAGGGCTGCGTTCAGCCGCGACAAAATGAAGCAAAACATTGATTTAAACAGAAACAGAAGATCATCGAACACTTTGTTGTCTTACACAGGCACGCAGGCTTGTATTGGTTTGGGAATCAAAAGTTTACATTGACAAAGCAGGTGTATAATTGAAAAAAACAAACAAACAAAAAAAGATGCACAATAAGTAAAGATCTACCAGAATTTGGTTCATATTAATGTCTCTGCTGATTGGCTAACACCTCTGACACACTTGCCAAACAAGAGAAAACATACCTCAATGTCTGTTTGACCAGGAAACTGAGCAACTGAACGTTTTCGGACTGAATGTGCCACTCAACAATGTGGATTTGTGGCTGGCAACAAGTTAGAGGGTTAACCATACTATTGAACCTTCTCATACAGACATGTCCAGAGTCCGGTCTAGGTTTACAGAGATAATGAGTTTACAATGATGTAAAACAGAGAGACGCTGTAACTAATAACAGAAGAGCAGAATTAAGAAAAAGAAAATCTCAAAATAGTTGCTGATTATCTTCAACAATAGACGAACAGACTGACAATGTTTTTTTAGCCCTCGCCATCACATTATCTGTGGATTCACAGGACAGAGCCCTTATACCTTTATAACTATCTGTGGCAACATAACAACAAAAAAGTGAAGCTTCAGAGTACAGAGTGCATAATGTTTGGAAAAAAGACATTGAGGATTACATCAAGTACATACATATCGCCCAGTATTACAGCACACAGCACCCTCTGTGAGAATGTCTGTTCGTCTAATCAATCCAAAACTGATCACATCTCTTCTTGTTCATTCCACTGACCTGGATTTCTGTTGGCTCCAGCACTTTCTCTATGTTCAGTATCTGTCTCTCTATGTTCCTCTTCGTCTCGTCCAGTTTCCACTGAGCCTGCAGTAGCTTTTCTTTTTCTCTCAATAATCCTTCTGGTTTGTCAAATAGTTTTTCTCTCTCTGTTATCTCTGCCTCCACTGACTGAAGCTGCCTTTTGTTCTCTTCCCTCTCTGCCTCAACTCTCTTCAGTTCTCCTTTGACTTGATGTTTCTGTGCCTCCAGGTCCCTTATCAGTCCCTGTAGGCTGGAAACCACCTGTGCAATGTTCTCCTGTTCTTCCCTGTCCCTCTTTTGTAATTCATTTTGAAGAGATGTAATTTTCCTCTGCAAATCAGCTTTGTCACCTTTAGTGAAGAAAAGATGTGACATTGAACAACACAGAGACACACAGAGGAAGTGTAAATACACAGTAAATTAGAGTAATATTCCCTCTCCATGGAGCTATGGTAAGTTAGCTGGCCCGTTTGCATGTGCAAAGAGCAGCTGTGATGCTGCTTAAAATCAGGTTGTGTGTTGCCAGGTTTTCGTGACAGTTGGACCGAAAATTGTATGTTGTACAATTTTGGATTTGAGCTGGGGGATAAGCAGGGAGGTTTGGATGCTGATAAGATGGAGGGAAGTTTACCATCGTTCATTTATACTACCCACATTGTAATGCACTGTGTGTGGATTATGTGTGTATTTCATGCACAATCTGGCAACTTGCATGATGTCAGATAAAAATACAAAACATATGGATCTGTGTATCATGACTATTCATAATAAAGTTTCAGACATTAAAGTCAATGAATTAATATTTAATATCATCAAAAGTAACACTGTGTTGGTGTTTTGCAGTGAAATATGTTATTACTGTAAACATCAAGGAGCTGTGACTTACTTCTCCATTTACAAATGACAACAGCGACGATCACACTGCCAATGGCGAGTGCAACCACGCTACAAACTTCAGCCATGGGAGCACAGTCAGAGGTAAAAATGGTTTGACTCATATTCGTTGGCATATCATCTGCTGAGGACGCAGCACCTGAGTGACAAAGAGCAGAAATGTCAAATTGTTTCCTTCTTCCACCAGAGCAGTTCCAACTTGTGCTTTTCCCAAACTGTCACATATCACTGCTTTGTCAGTGGACTTTAGCATCTACATATTACATGCCAGGTATCCTTCAGTGTCAACAGCTGCTAGGTGTCCTTCGATGTCAGTGTTTTACTGTTGCGTAATATATAGATGCTTTTGTTGAAAGTTCTTCCGGTATGTCAAAAAAAGCACATGGTTAGGTTTAGGCATAGGTTTAGGTGTTTGACTTCGAAGTCACTGACGAAGTGACTGTGTTTGACAACTTTGAAATGAGAACGGGCTGGCAGGTCTGACCCTTTAAAGTGTGGACAAATAAAACCCCAATACGCTTTAATACTGACAGCTACTATCACTTAATTTCGTGGATTTCTATTCTAACACTTGAAAATCCCATTTCGAATTTCAATTTAGCTGTAGTTTGATATAGACATTTAGGCTTTGTTTACACAGATAACCGATATAAATAAAAACAGATTTTTATTTATCCGGGTTTATACGATCAGTTGTGAAAAAATCCGTCCAAAATTTCTGTCTATCCTTAGTGTTTACACGTCTCCACAGAAACGGATATTTTTTTAAAAACTTTGATTTGGAAGCCTTTTTTGAAAATCTCCTTTTTCGCTGAGAAAAACGCCGGTTACGTGTAAATGATAGGTGCAAACGTAAAGATAAATACCTGTTTTCAGAAATATACGGAACCGTATAAACAGGCTCTTAGAAAACGTAGAGATCTAGATGAATAATTACACCTTTTGTCAAACAATAATTTGAAAATTGTAATTGAATAAATTAATTTAAATCCATAAAAAGTGAACACTTTAGAAGGAACACTGGTAATGTAGAAAAACATGCATTTAGTTTAATTTCATTTTAGACTTAATAGATCTGAATTCATAATTGAAGACATCACATTTTTGTAATACAAGTAAATATTAAAATGATGAAATGAAATCATATTGAATCACTTAAGAGAAAACATAAGGCTGCTGCACTGAAGCCAAATGCAGAAAAGACACACATCAGCATTTTAATAATGCTTGTTGGTTTTATGACTGATGCACCAATGTCCAGACAAATAAACGTATAATACTCACACAGATGATCTGTTGGTGGCTGCACACTGGAGTTCTGAAAAATTGTATTCTGTAAACCAGCAATCGAACACTGTTATTATATTTTCTCAAATAGACTACACAAAAACATGCAACATGCAATAAAAGCCATTACTGTAACTGAGAGAATATATCGACTCATGACGGCAGAACAGACGTAAGTTACAAATAGTTAATGATGAATATTTTGTAGTTTACATTAAAAAAAATAAAGCTATGTTCTGACAGCTCACCTGTGTGTAGAACAAGTCAGCTCCCCTCAGTGTGCATCAAACTTCAGGGACAAAGTCCTCACACTGTTTGACTGTAGTGTGTCCACCCTGTCTCCTGCCTGCTCGTTTTTATTGCACAATTGAACAATGATGTGTGCAGTTCTATTTACATTTAGCCCATAAATTTTTCAAGGGTGCATGCATGTCTTATCAGTTTACTGTCAAAGATGTTTTTTTTTTTTTTCAACTTTTGTGCGTGTCCTATCACAGGACTGTAAATCTCAAAGAAAAGAAAGACCCTGACACTTAACCCTGAATTAACGTTCACCAGGACAAAATGAGCTCAATTTAACAGTTTGTTCAGTTTGTTATTGAAATTACTCCAAATGATTCTGATGACAGTTTAACTTGATCTTTGTGTACTTTTCACCAGCTGCCTGGCAGTCCAGTCATATAAACTACCAGCCTGCAGGTGTAACTGTAGCTCTACCACACCTGTATTTTATAAAAAGGAAAGTCAGTCGAGTCAATAAAACATTTATGAGGTAACATCAGGTTCTACTTCATCTTCCATCATCTTGTGCAATGTAAAAGTCAAAGTGGCCGGCTGACTGCAGAGGGCAGAGTAACACCACTTTCAGACGGTTAGACGCAGATGAACAGAGGAAGCAGAGGAAAACACAATCCTTTCAAAGTCCTGTAGGATGGAAGATCAACTCTGGCTGGACTGATACAGAACATGACTCCATGACTCCATCCTGAGACTGAGAGAATCCTCACTGTTTATTTTTTTAAAAAATAAATTACTTCTCTTTAAGAAAAATGACACCATCACTCTTTTCTGCAAGACTTGTGCATACATTTGACAGACAAAGTGGTGGCTGGGTGAGTTATGATTAACAATGGTGTCAGTAGCATCACATTAAGCTTTGACCCTGAAGTCTAATAGCATTAAATGTGTAAGAGAAGAAGAAGCCGGTAACAACATGGAGAAATCTACATCCAGAGCCATGACTTTTTGGACGGACCAAATGTACAGAGCTGTAAAGCTGTCCACCATGGTACCAGTTAGCTGCTAGCTAACCGTAGCTAACTTGTTTGTCCATTGTTTGGTCTGTGACGTAATAGGTCAACAGGAAAAAGGTCCAATACTAACAAGCTGAAAGGGGGCATATCTCCACCTATCGTAGAGGAGTCGCACATACTTGGCTCAATAAATGGATTCCCTTTCTGTGCTTGTATACTGGGAGAGTAGTCCAATTAAATGTCCTGCCAAGCTGTTCCTGTAGTTTGCCTTAACTGTTCAGGTAACCATCCTGACTGTTACAGAGCCTCAACACTTTGTAGTGGAGAGGTTTGGGTGGATGGAGGCTTCGGCAAAATGTTCCCCACTATTTACCCACACATGGTACAAATCTGATTTTCAAAGCTGATTTGGAAGAGTTTCAAATGGCAGATCAGAAAACATGTGGGTGATTTTGGAAATCACAGATGTTCAATTGGACACAGACAAATTAGAGATAAAACCTTTTATCTTTATTTATATTGTAAACCTTTATACAAGACAGAAATGTGGTCCTCAACACTCCATTGAAAGCTGTACAGTATTTGTACATTTCTGCAAACTTTTCAACTTCTTAGTTATGTCCAAACAACGTGGACCTTTTCTGCAATAAAAACAGAACTTTCTTGCACATTGGTCAAAACACTTTCATGAAATAAGCACTTTAAGATCTGTGTAAGGCTACAAAAAAAGTCACTGAGACAAGATAAGTGATATAGTCTTGATCCTTGACCTAGCCGGCCTTTAAAGCTCAAACTATAGTGATCTAGCAAGGCTAGTCAGCTAGCTCTCCACCTCCTAACATAAGACAGAGTGGGAAAAAAGACATTGTCATACACATATAGTAGTCATATAATTTATTTCTGTATGTATTTGTTTATTCAGTGGTTTAGAGTGTGGGTATCAGATGTGCGTACTGGAGGATGTGTTTCTTTGGCTCTGGGCATTTAGCATTTACTAAACCATCAATATTTCAAACTAAACAATATATTATTAAAGCCATAGATGTCGGTGCAGCTTTATGTTTTTAATATCACTACTGACTTTGTGTAGCTCTGAGGACAGCGGTGATGTCACTGACAGATTGGGTGGTGAACTGCCTTTGTCTAATTATTTTTAAGGTTCATCACTCGGCTTTTATCTGTGTCAAGCACACTTGTTGTCATTTTTGGGCTCAAACCAATGAGGTTGTCACCTCCACTATAGCAGCTCTGCCTCACATAGATATTTACAGATGCACAATTCAAACAGGAAGAGGAAGTTCTGACCTACATCAAGTCTCAGCTGTATTTCTGATGTGCAGACAGTCAGCAGTGAGGCATCATGGAGGTCACAGCTCTCTGCGTCAGACTGTGTGAGTACTGAGTATTTTCTTACTCTATTACTCTTGTTTCTTTTTAAAGTCAGCAGACAAACATCTGCACTGTGTGTGAGGTACAGCTCTCTTCATTTGTGTCTGCAGGGATGGATGTGTTAGTGCTGCTGCTTGCACAAGTTAACCACAGTTACTTTGCTCAGAAAGCTGGTAAGGTGGATTTCATTAATTAGCTGTCTGGCTAATGTCCCTAACACTCAGTTTGTGCCGGCCATGTGACGTTCTGAATAATGGTCTGTAATGCTGCTATGTGCGTTTTTTATCATACCTTAGCAACAAATGAGACTACCATCAAAGGAGTTTAGAGACGAAAAAAAAATAAAGAAGTTGAAGTCTGTCACGGATATAACTACAGTTCTATGAGCACAAACCACTTTACCATTGCTGCTCCAAAACTGCCAAAAGTACCCTAATTCTATACTGATGAGCCTATTATATTTGTAATCTTGATTGTCTTTAAAATATGAATAAATGGATGTTTTTTTTTAATTACTGTGTCAGGCAAACAGTCACACCCAGCCTGCACGGGCTTACAGGACACTTTAAAATCAAAACAAGCCAAGACCAGAATCCAACGTACATATTTTCAGACAACATTGAAAAAATATAAGAAAACAGAGCAAAGCAGCAAAGGCATCGTACATGATCAGATTATCATTGTGTAGGACTGAGTTTATGGATCACTCACAAAGGCACAAAAAAAAAACTGAAACAAGTACTAATTAAACAAACTATCTTCCTTCTCTTCCAGGCTTTTGTGACAAAACTGGCAATCTTAAACACTTTCAAACTAAACCACCATTCTAGTTTTAGGTCGTATGAGCACCAGAAAATGTCAGGGTTTAGACGAGCCATGTCGTGGAACGTTAACTCTCTTAAGTCTTAAGTTTGTATAGTATAGGAAAAAAAACGTGATTCACCCAAATCACACAAGTCACATATTATCTTTACCTCCTGAATATTGTTGAATCGCTTGATTCTGATGGCCAGAGGAAGAACAGCAGCTCTCAGCTGTGCAACTAAAGATCTTTGGCTCCCAGCTTGGTTCAGGGCCAAACTTCTGTTTTATATGCACATATGTCCTTCATTTAGGCACTCACAGGATGTTTTTGAACCATTTCTCTTCGCAGCAATAATGTTAACATTGCAGCATCAGTTATTCCTGTAAATATACACCATACCCACCTCCTCAAACACTGAGCAAACCTCTTTTTAAATGCTGAATATTTAATTAAACTACTCACTTGTTGTGTCTCTGTCTCAGGTGCAGCGTTTCCTCGTGTTCGTCCAGACAGACTGCAGTTCTTTGAGTATGAGAGACTCAGTGTAAACTGTGAGGAGTTCAGAGGGTTGACTGAATGGAGAGTGATGAGGAGGCTCAACACAATAAGTCCAACCGATTCTTACAACTGGAACACATCAGCACCATCCAGCACCATTTATCCTGCCTTTGAAATGTACAGTGGCAAATACTGGTGTGAAGATGGAGATGGGAAGACAAGCAGTGCTCTCAACATCACCATCACTGGTATGTTTAGCAAATAACGAATCGAGAGTTTTTATAACATTTTTATAAAAGTCACAAAAGACACAAATACTTTTCAAAAGTGGTGCTTCATGACCAGAAAACAGAGGAAAAGGGGCTGTGGCATTAGCTTTGGCTCAACAAGTACAAAACCTCCAACTATCAGAATGCACTGTGCCTCACTGGACTAATAAACACTCCCGCTGGTGTTTGACACACTGCGAGCTTGTCCGTGTTGACACAGAAATGAATATGGTGGCCAAGTGGTAACAAACGAAACATTTGAGGTGAGAAGTAAACAATGCAGTGACATAATCTTGATTTATATTTGATCAACACTGCTGAGTTCAACCTGGTCTCACTCCGAAGTCATTGAAAACCAGTGGTTGGTGGGTGACTTTCGGCGTCAGACACCGATGAAAAAAGCTGTCCTTACATATTGGCATGATACACAGCTGGCTGCAGTTGTTGTTTAACCGCACCCGGCAGCATCAGGTGAAACGTGGAGGGACAACAACGCAAGTTAAGGCGGCAGAAGTCTGAGTAGGGTGGGTGAGAGGGGTGGTGGATGGTGATTCACCTAGGAGGCTGGTGTTTGCTTCCTGTAAAATTGTAAAGCCAAATCCTGTTCAGTTCGAGGTGTTGTACTGACGTAGTGCTTTTATTTTGAAAGAGACTGTATGCAAACTGTACATTTCCTGTGAAAACTGAAGTGTATTTTGAAAACAGACAATGCATGTAACAGGCTGAAGTTGACATGGCATCCCAGAAGGTCAACAACCAACACACCCAGGGTACCTGAGAATGTGTTGCTTATTTTTACAGTTTGGTCTAAGTTTGACAGAGAGAGGGGGTCAGCTCTCTGTCTCGATCTGCTTCATGCTGGTGGGCAAATGAAAATGTGGAAGTGCAATCTGTAGTTGGAGCAACAGCCCATTGATTTGATAAATGAGCAGGAAGATCTGGGCGCTGAGCTTAAGATGGAGGGACGTTTACCACAGTTGATTTACACTGACCGCCCACATTGTTATACAAAGCTGGTTGAGAGTTAGTAAGGTGTCCCTTTAAGTACTGTATGAACTGTATGACCTGACCGGCTGCAACTAAACATC